ACGAGCTGTTCGCGAACAACAAGCCCTTTCGACCAGCCCTACTTAAGCTATATTTCTTTGGGTCTGATTCAATACCTACTTAAAAACAACCCTTAAAAGAGAAATATGATTAGAATTAGTGATGTCAAATTGACTTGTTGGGTATCCGACTCTCCGAACCCTTTCGTGATTACGTAGAGCCCTAGAAGGATCTTCAAATGCTGCGATATCTCCGTCTTCCTGCCGAAGCATCGAAAGAGTGCAAACAATCTCCCATCCGGTCTGTCCTGACCTCCTCCGTCCTTCGAATCAACAGACTCACCATTGGTTTCATGACTACCGCAACTCTCCACCTTCGCCCAGGGTTGATCCAATCCCTGAGAGCCAGTTCTCAACCCCACGTTTCCAGGAGAGCATCGGTTCGCCATTCCCTGTCTCTTGGACCTGGTTCCTTTAACAAGGTCTGAAGCGAATCAAAAAGCCTTAATCTATCTATTAGCAGTGAATGGTTTGGTTTGATCGTGATGATGGAACTGTTTCTGATTCTCGTTCGCAGCACATTGGTCCGGAAATTAGCTTGCGGAGACGCGATCCGCGAAGTTCTTTGCTTCCTGTTGCGGCGGCTGTTGAAGAGGTATTTTTTCAAGCTCAAGGTATTCAGGCAGACAGATAATAATAGAGAATTTAGTATACAGATGTTTATTTTTTTTTAATTAAAGGTTTAAATTTATGTAAGAAATAAAAGTTCCGTCTTTGATTTGATGTTGAAAGAAAAAAAAAAAACTTGAAATCTATTTACATGAAAGATGATGCAATATAATGATGTTACTGTTTTTGCCACTGTTTTGAGGGGTTTGTATATGATATTTTTGGTTTTTACTTATACGAGCTAATTCTTCGACTACTATCTAGGACGGGTGGCTAAGCTCAATTAGCTTCGAGTCAGTAAGGCACAACTCGATCTGCTGGGATTCGTTCAGTCGGCCTAGATTTGAGATATGAGTTAAGCCAGCTTGTGAGCGCACTCGAGCTTGGCTCGATAAATGGATCAAGCTAGCCTTGACTCAACTTGTTAGCTCGTGGGCCATCTCGTTTTAAAAAAAATATTAATATAAATATACTCAAAATATGTTAAATTTGAAGACTTCATCTTTAAAGTATTAAAAATATTTTATAAAAAATATTTTGTATTTTATATCAAATGATTTTTTATTATTTCTCTCATAATTGCTCATTCTATTTGTCATTTTATCATAACATTTTCTTAAACTTAACTCTTTAATAATAAACAAGCCGACTTAAACTCTTAGATTTAAAATTAATCAAGCTCAAGCTCGAGTTAGGGGTGGCTTGAGCTCGACTCGTTTACACCCCCAGCCGAGATCTGTTGGGTGGGCTGATCTTTATGAAAAGCCTCTGGGCGTTATTGGGATAATTGAAGATGCTAAGGAATCATATCTTATTGGGATCTACTCTCCTGTAATAATTGACTTGTATATCTTTTTGCATTGTTTTTGTCTGAATGACTTGCTCTTGTATCTTCCTATTGTCTTTTATTTGCCTCGTGATTTGGTCGGCTCTAGCTTTGCTGGCTTTGATTCTGACAACTTCGCTCAGTCAGACATGTGGATCTCACGATCTTTTGTCGATGAGCCCTTCTTCGTCTTTTTCTTCTCTTCTAGAGTGTTAGATCTCTCTAAAATTAGCACTGACTCACTTTTGATGTATATATTTTATTTTCTCGATTTTTTTACTTATTGAAAGTGACGGTGTGATAAAAATCAGAGAATCTAATACAAAACATAGATCATATTTATTACTGATCAATAATTTAATAATTGAACACCTTTGATTTTCTCGTCTTTGATTCTTATAAATAAAGCATGACAAGACTCTTCATATTCTTATTTGCTCCACACACCTCTCTCATTTGAATCGGTTGGTTTTCTGAGCATTATAATCGAGAAGGTGTCTAATCCTCAGGGTGATATTTCCAACAGAGATCCACTTTGTGTTGCCTTTGGGAGACCGAAGTAGCTGTACCTCTCGGAAGGTGATAGGAAGAAGAAAGTCGTCATAAGAAGAGAAAACAAGTTGCACTAACAGATCAAATGGGGTCATCTGATTCATTCATTGACACTAAGCAGAGGAACGTTCTTGCGACCTCCTTGACCATTGATCTCTCAGCTCAACCTTCTGATGTGACACAAAATCCGTTGATAGAATGGGTCAGATAAGAAGTTACCGATGCTCTATCGCCACACGGTGAGAGTGCTGCGCCAATTACAACGCCTAAGTTGGATCGACGCCTTCGTACGAGGAGTTTTAGTCTTTCGTGTTAGATTTTAATTTTCTTAAAGTTTTTTCTTTTAGCCTGTCTCTTGGTGCAGACGACTCGACTTTGAGAGATCCGAGCGAGGGTCCACCTTGACTGGTGTTGGCGAAAATCCAATCGAGATACTGCGACAACAAAACAGGCAGCAAGGGCGACCAACTCTCAAGCGAGGATGGTGGGGTTGATCTCCCAGACAATTCTCTCGAGATTCACTGAGAAGCAATTAACGGGCACCGAATGTATCGTGGATCATCACGATTCACTGAGAAGCAATTAACGGGCACCGAATGTACATCATATCACCAGCTGGATGAGATCGAGAACTCCTTTGCTTGGTCAACTGGAAGCGAGGCAAGGAGATACGCGAGCTGCTTCCCTGTATGAACAAAGCAGAGAATGTGGAGTAAGAGATGACTAATCTTTGTCAGGAACTATCAGAAGTCCGGAAAATCCCTCATATTTCAGGCTCAAGCTGAGAAGGATCATACAAATCAGTTTAAGTTTGGGGAAGAAATTTTATATAAGAGTCTGCTTCGACTTGGGTATGTCTTGACTGAAATGGTGACCGATTCCTTGGTAAAATATTTTCTCCCGAGCTAGTTTTCGAGCGCTTCTTGTAATCTGTAATGTCTATTTTTGAAATAAAATGTATTTTTTCGTCTTTTTTTTGTTGGTGTGTTTCTTTTGTCAACATATTTTTTGAAATTACTATAGAATTCCTTTTTTTAGCCGCGTGATAGTTCATATTCTTTCATTTCCCCATATATAAAGTATATATAAAGGGTGTGGGGTCAATGACGTTACACTTTACTCTGTCTTTTTTTTCCTCACTTCTCATCTTTCTCTCGACTCTTTTTATACACTTTGTTCGATGACTCTAAAGTATTCTCCAAAGGCCTTCGTGTTGTGCGTCTCAAATGACTTATCATCGATGACTTCGTGGGATGTGGATCGACTGCTAGAGACCCGTGTCTTCCATCCCTCCATCAAGCTATGGGTCCTTGGGGAGAACGACCAAGTCACTTCCTTATATGGCTCCGACCTACTATTCTACAAAGGTCAGTTCCGCTTCGGCCTCTGACTGCTTTTTTGTCAGGAGTTACTGGTTATCTTCATTCACTATAGTGTCATTCCTGTTCATATACTACCCAACTCCATAGCAGCATTATGACCTTTGTCATGTTTTGTCGGCGGTTGAGGATCATATGATCAATCGAGCTCACCAACTATTTGTTCTTATTTTGGGTTGGCCCGGACGGCTCGCTCAGTTGGTCTATGTCGGCAAGTTCCAGCTGCTGGGGTTGAAAAACAAGGTGAAGGACTGCAAACTCCATTTATGCTTGCGCTCTTGCCCTAAGGGGCGGGCAGTATATCCAGACTGTCCCGTCTGGCAGTGCTCTGGTAAATTCAAAGAAGAATGTGTCAGACAGAGTGTTGGTAGAGGTCAGGGACATCAACGACTGTCAACTCTCGGTTCATCAATACCTCAACCCAACAACTATTAACTCGATGCTCCAACTAGACACCTTCAGTTGAATGATCGAGGAGGACTGGGAAGTTTCTATTGCATAGAAAGCCGAGAGGGTGGCAGTGGTTGCTACCCAGGTGGCCAAGAAGAAAGCCCACACGACCTGTTGTTTTGAAGCTACTGGCCATTTGACTGCTCCTCCTGAGGCTGTGGTGGCTGTTTGACCCAAACCAATAGTGGTCATTGCTGGAGAGGACTTGGAAAGTGTGGAAATATTTTATTACAAATATGATTCATCTATTATTTTTCAAAGGACTTCTACTGACAAACTAATCCTCATTGCTATAAAAACATTTACAACACTCACTAAGAGTCTCTATCGGTTTCAAGTCCCTTGGGTGCGCAACATCAAAAGACCGAGAGGACAACCAACACGGTGGAGTCGAGCCATCGTGAGGGGGAGGCATTGGTAGAGAGACAAGTCTCTATCGGCTTACCCAATACTAATTCGCCGAAGGTTGTCAATCATCGACAGGACCTTCTCTTGCCCACAACGATGCTCTCAGAGGGTGTGACAGATTTGCTGTCAGAATTGGTCACCACTCACAAGGAGCTTGCGAGAAATAAAGAGGACTTCTATTCTATTGCCAAAAGATTGGAGTCTGATGATGCTTCGACGCGAAGTAAAGTTGAAATGACTTTGATGCAAGACCTGATCACATATTTGGAGGATGATGTCATGAAGCTAAAGAACAAAATTGCCGCTTTGGAAGACAAAGTGGAGGCTGGCTCGAGTACATTTCTCGAAATGCGCCGAGAACTGGATGAATTGAAGGTTGGTCAACTCCAGGTACAACAGTGGTCGAAACACCATGACGACGAGTTGTTCATTTATGGTTGGAGATTTGTCTTGGACAGACTTCTCTGGACCGACTGCATTTCTCTAGATGACATAAGAAAAACTGTCTCGACCTTTTTTACGGCGAATTGTAGTTATATGTGTTTTTTATTTTGTGGCCGTTTCCTGTAATCCTGACTCGACTTATGATAAAATGAAAGCATTTATCTTTATGTGCTTGTCATACATTTAAGTTTGTTCTTTTTATTTCAAATACCTGTGCCTAGCAATTGTTATAATGGAGGAAATTAATTGGGGAAGGGAATCCACTTTGATTCATTTCGTGAGGTTGAAAGGCTAATTGATTAGAAAATTTTGCTGAATCCGAATGGATGAGTATGATTATTGAGATTTTAGGACTTCTCTGATATGCTATCGTCCGAGTCAAGTCTTATAGCTCCCACATGCCTTTGTCTCTCAGTTAGGTTGTCACATTGGACGATCACATCTTATTCTAGACATATTAATATGATATTGTCGCAACCTTCGCAGGGATAACTGTCGAGGCTTGCTGCTGGGGTGATTCATACGATACTCACGTCGGATCCTGTCGCTAATGGGTAATGAATCATCGCCAGAGCTTGACCCGCTTCAGGGTTGGAGATATGAGTTTTATTAATGCTTGAGCATTGTGGGCCTGTTCTTGCATGATTGACCAATCAGACAATTGTCATCGTTGTTACTTATTTAGATAATATTTACAGATTGGTCGTTACTTATTACTGTCATTTTTGTAGCTCGGATGGAAACATTTACAATGGGCCTATTTGAGTTCCCAAGATATCAGTTGAATTTTATCGATCACTTGCATGAACTTTTTGAGTTTCCTGAGTGTCGGTCAGACCTGAGATCACACACATTACTAGAAAAATTTGTCATAGTTTTGTAGCTCGGATGGAAACATTTACAATGGGCCTGTTTGAGTTCCCAAGATATCAGTTGAATTTTATTGATCACTTGCATTAACTTTTTGAGTTTCCTGAGTGTCGGTCAGACTTGAGATCACACACATGACTAGAAAAATTTGTCATATATTTAAATGAGTAAAAAAAATTGAAGCGATTTGATCAGCTAGAAATGATTGTCTTTTGTAGGATCATGAATCCAGAATCTTGAATCGTCCCGGTGGCTCGGCTTTTTGGCTGGCATTACGCTTTGGTACGCCCGATCTAGTGGGACCTGGCGTCTTTTTGAAGACTCGACCTTAGAGATTTGTCAGGGGAACGAATCCCCGGGCTTACGGGGCTCCTCAATACGCGCGACCCGATGCGATCTATCGGTGTAGACCCGACACTATCGAAGTATTGGGAGTTGATTTTCCTCCAAGTTTGGAGGGACTCTTCTGCCATTGGTTGCCGACCTTTCCTCTCGGGGTGCCACTCTCTTTCTCGAGCTAATGCATCTTGGAAGTCATCTAGAATTTGATCCTTCAACTCTTGGAATTGCTGGTTCACAAAATTTTTGGTGCCCTCCATGTTGTTGGTTCCTCTATTGTGGGTTTCTCTTCTTCTTGTTTGTGTCACGTTTCACACTCACAACATCTTTTGGGATGTTGAATTATGATTTATCCGTGAATTACTCCCAAAGAATAGACGGTAAGGAGAGAGAGTCGGAGAGAGGATAAATAGTAATACGTCGTGTCAAGAATGTTCTATTCATAAAATGATCTCCCTATTTATAGGAAAGATAATACGATGTGATGATGTACAATATATTCTTGATATTTTACATGTATGACCTGATCTTTCAATTGCTCTCTAGGTCGGTCGGCTAAGCTCAATTGGCTTTGGGTCAGTAAGACTCAACTCGATCGGTTAGGATCCGCTCGATCGGCTGATCTTTGGTTGATACGAGCCGACCAGTTTGATGCGACCTAGTTGTTAGTCTTGACCCATGATGAGGAGCTTCTGGGGCGTTTTTGAGATGGTTGAAGATGCTAAGGAATTGAATCTTCCTGGGATTGGCTCTCATGTGATAATGGCTTTGGATGCCCTTTAGTCTCTTTTTTGTCTGAATGACTCATTCTTGTATCCTCCGGTTGTTTTTGGTCTTTCTTGTGATTTGGTCGGCTTTGGTTTTGTTGGCTTTGACTCGGACAACTTCGCTTGGTTGGACATGTGAACCTCACGGTTTTCTGTCTATGGGCTTTCATTCGCCTTACTCTTTTCTCTTGACCGTTAGATCTCCTCGGGATTAGTGTTGACACACTTTTGATTCACAAAAACGAATAAGTATTGTAATTAATTTGAAATGTATGCCCTCCACTTTCACTTTGAAATAATTGCTCTCTTCTCCGTTATATATTCTACTTATATTAAATTGTTGATATTAAAAAAAAGAGTTCGCTTTCATTTTCTCTAATTTTCACTCTTAATTTCAACCCCTATAGAATAGTTAATTTTGCTTTTATCTTTTTTCTGTAATGAGAAAAGGGTTTCTTGTGGATAAATGTTGATGCATTCTTCTATTGCTACATAGGATATTGGGGATATCTCCTTTTCACTTGAGGATCAGGGGGGTTATGGAGGGAGTGGTTATATAATTTCTTCTAGTGAAGGAGAGGACAGCGATATTGATGCCTTCCTTACTCCTTTTGCTGAAACTGAATTGCCATCGAGCAGGGAACGCTTTGAAACTCCCAATGCTGCACTGACCTTGTCCGCCCACCGGTTGGCAACCATTCAAAAAGGCTATAGAAAGAATAGGTGAGCACTCTGAATTTAGATAAAGAAGATGTAGGTACATACTACTCAATTCCTATGTATTTACGTATTTAACACCTAAACTTCAATATTTATATACACACCACCTTACCTATGGATGAAAAGGTGTGCCTTTCACTTTTTAGAAGTTAAAATGGCAGTAAAACAAAGTTTTGGTGTTAGATACGCAAATACATAGGAATTTGTGTTATGTATGATTTTATAGATGTCTGATTAATGAAACAGAAATTCTTCAACCATCTACTTGCTATTTACAAAATTGGTCATCATCTATCTGTTGTTATGCATATGCTTGATCTCATTCTCTTTTCCTTGCCTGTTCATGTCTTTGTGTGTTTATTTTAGCATGGTGTGGTATGGTCATACTGGTGATTCACAAACACTTTTAATATTTAGAATGAGATGGCACTTTATATGTATATGAAAATGGGAAATTTGCATACATATATGTATTTACATATCTAAAACCTAAAGTTTGATATTTACATTTATAATATTTTAATCTTATAAACCTATGCATGGAAAGGTGTATTTCACTTTTAAAAATGTAATAATAGTGATACTTTTTATGTGATATTAAAGATTTGAATGTTATGCATGTAAATATAAATGTTTAGGCGTTAGATATGTAAATATATAAGAATTTTGTGGAATGTATGCAAATGTCCCTATGAAAATATGTTTCCTTTGGATCTAAACTTGTTTATAGTTTGACAAATTCTTTCTTTTAATGCTAGGACTCGAAGAGGAGTCATCCTTACCTTGGGATTGATAGTCTTCATGACATTATTTCTTTTATTTGTTGATTGGTGCTCATGGAGGATTGTTAGGCTACCTCTGGAGCCATTTTTTTTGACATGCCCATTTTCTATATCAGCATTTTTGTCAGCATGCATTGGATTTTTGTTTGTTGCTATTGTTGATGGCCTGAAAATACATCAGATAATTAAGAGAGAAAGATCTCTCAGTTCCCTTAAAACGTCAATACCTACAATTGGCGGCTTATTTTTTCTTCCAGTTGGGATCACCACTTGGAGAGCTGTAATAGGACATAATTCTATCCTTGTTACTGGAGTAGCTGCAGCGACTCTGGGTTTTGCAGCAATTGGGTTGCTTGATGATATTTTCCAATTTACCATGATGCATAAGTACAAATTACCGGGATGGCTGAAATTATTATTGCATGTAAGAAGCTCTCTTTCCCAAACACGTGAAATTAACTAATTATTTTCATTGGACAAGATTTATATTCATCTAAAGCGGCCAAATTTTCACCATAATATTTTTTGCAGGTAGCAGTTGGGATGTGGTTTTCAGTTTGGCTGGATACAGCCAATTTACCAACACCATACAGCATGTATACTTCTTCATAATCATATGACCAAAATTTTTTTCAGGGTAACAATCTATTAGTTACTGATTTAAGCAATTAATGGTTTGTGTCTTAATAGTCAAATTTTTTCGGCGTGCAAATTCATTGAATAGGCAATGCAAACTTGCTTTATGGTACAATAAAATACAAGTTAGTCATGATAGATTGTTATTTTTGGTAGATTTTTCATTAAGTTATGTTTTTGGAACATATTTTGATCTCTAATGCTTGCTTAGTGGCATTTGTAGCTTTGTTCCATGTTAATAATAAGCCTTTGGTCTATAGTTTCATCATTCCGCTTTTGTCTAATCCTAAAGTTTTATGTAGCAAATACAATTCCAATTTTATATTTTGTTAACTCTTACACCATTTCATCAAAATTTAGTTTAGCTGTTTTTTAGGTAATGTCCTTGTGTACTTATGTAGCTTCCACCAATTTTGTATTAGATGCTGTACATCGCTTTTATCTTCACACCCTATCTAATTTTTGTCCTCTCACAAAAACCATTAATTTTTTGCCCACTTATTACAATACTAGCATGGTCTTAATCCATAGATTTTGGGATCATCCATGATCTACATAAAATCAAATTTGGATCATTTTTTATGAATTTTGGGATTGATTTTAAGATTGATTGTCAATCTAACATCAGTTCTGAACAATTATCGTGCAGGCTTGGGACTAGAAGCAATTGGTTTATTTTAGTTTATTTTATTTGTGTTGCGATGTATCATATTCATCTTATTCGACTGATATTTCTGCACTCCTAGCAATTTAGAACTTTGAGCACAATCCTTAGTCTACGCTTTATTGTGCTTAGAATGTAGAATATTTTTCTATCTATTGTAGGATATCTTTGCTCTTTTGCTAATTTTAATATTGGTTTAAATTCAAAATACTACCCTGTCTATTTATTGGTGGCCAACTATGCCTTAGAATATCACATCTTTTCAATTTAGTCCTTAGACTTTACAAAATTGATCCATATTGGTTTCTCAGGGATGAAATTAGCATTAATTTTGAAATGGGATTAATTTTGTATCATAAATTCTACACGAGGGATCATTTTGGATCATTTTTGTTAAGTCGAGGGATTAAATCTGAGAAATGTGATATTCTGAGATTACACAAATAGTTGGTAAATTATTTTGGGGTTTAATCATTTTGTTGAGCATGTGCATGCTTATTTTGAACATGACATTTGCATTTTCTTACTGAACGTTTTTGATTCATTACTCACTGAAGGAAGTTCTTAGTTCCTCTGCCTCCACCATACGGGCTTGTTCATCTGGGAAAGTGCTATCGACTATTGACACTATTTTGTTTTGTTGCCATGCCCAATGCCGTTCGCTTAACCGATGGAGCCGATGGCTTAGTTGGTGGGGTTTCTGCTTTGGCCTTTGTTGGGATGTCAATTGCTGTTCTTCCAATTTCTCCTGGTTAGTATATTTGCAGCTGTTTCTTCCTCTTTTTGTTGTTGGCGCTACTATCATATGGAAGACTTTTACAAATCTATCATGTAAGAAATTTGATTTCTTATAATCCAACTATTGCGTTTATAAATTAGTTTCGTTTTTATTTTACAGAAGAAAAAATTTTAAATTCCAAAAAATTACTTCAGTAATTCGGTAGAGAATACATTGGGATTTGGTCAGGGCGTAAGGAAAAAATAATTGTAGTGCAGTTAATAAGGTAATTTCGATACTATCTTGGTATCAAACCTTTGAATTCTGTAGAAATTCTCTTTAGTAATGTTTTTTCATTATATGATCTATCTCTATAAATCTATATGCTCCTAATGAGATGACATGCATTTGACGCGTGCTATGTGTTGACAAATTGCTATAATGCCTGCTTTCTGCTTGATTTTTCTTAATGATTGCCGTTGCATATAGTTTTTCATAACAGACATCGTCGGCACTTTAAAGTTAAAACTTTGGCTTTGGCTAATGTTAATTAGTGCATTCTGCTTTTGAGTAACATAATAGTTTATTGTAATTACTTGGGATGAAGCTAGTGATGATAATGATTTTGTGATGTTGATGCTGAAAACAATGTTCAAAGGTTACCTTTGTTTGATTTATGAAAGATGACAAATGAATGATGTTGAAAAAGTAAAGGAACTTTGCAATCAATCATTCTTTTTTTACGAAGTTACATCTGTTTTAAAACGCCTTCGCGTAGGTCTCTTTTCTACTAGTTTCACCAATTCCTTTCAATTAATTTTATAGACGTGGTGTAACCATCCTTTCATTCCACATTGAATTTTTCCTCTTTATGGGTGGTCACAGAGAAATAGGCATTGGAGCATTTGAGCTGTCTGCGACCACTTCAAGATCAATAAAGTCTGCAGGGATTAAAAAATTAATTGGGAAGCAAGGGCATTCGCATCACAATTTTAGTGATAAAGGTAAAGATGGGAAGGAAGGGTGTTCGCAATATACGTTGTTAATAGATGTCCAAGCTCACTAAGTGATAAAGGTGGGACTTAGTTGTGTATCCTACTTAAGCCAATAATTATTATAAAAATATTTGAAATCTTGTAAAGAGTATATTGAGCAGAACAAAAACTAAAGCTTTTATTTGTTTATATAATTGGCTTGATATTTTATACATATAAGAAAGCTAAAATTTTTTAAGAGTGTAAGTGAGCAAAATAATAAGCTATAAAATGTACAATTTTGATGATTTATACAGTGACTTGGTATTAAAATGGAGAAAATGAGATATATAGAATATATTCGAAAAATATATTATAGGAAGTGACTTTGATCAAGTTAGATGCACTAAAAGTGATGATCATATGATATTGGCCAGAGATGAAGACATTAAAGAAGATGAAAAATATTATCTTGAGAACTTTTGGATTGTGATTCAATGAAGAAATTATTTTTGAATAGTTACAAACAATATAATAAGATTTATAATATTTTGATCCCAAAAAGTAAAATTAAGTTAGTTTTGAATAAGATGCGTGCAATTAAGTGCTTAGTTATCTAGATGAGATACCTATTAAGATTTGAAGAGTTATTAGGATGCTACATTTGTTTTGCTAAAAAATATTTTCAATATAATTTTAAAATTTAAGAGCATGACAAACTATTGGGAGAATATTTTGGGGTTAATATCTAAAAACAAATTAAATTTTCAAGATTATATTGACTATAGAGTAACCAATTTATGAGACCTTCAATAAAGTTATATTAATAAAAATTTGGTCTAAAAATTATTTTCATGATGGGGAACACATTTGGTTTTGTGCCAGGAAGATTTACTACAGAAGTATTTTCTTATACCCAAATATTTGATAGAAATGTATAGAGATTAAGTAAAAGATTTCTTATAATTTTTATTGATTTTAATTGAAACATACAGAGAATTAATTTGACATTCTTTAAGGCAAAAACTTGTGTCATGATCCTCATGGACATGTTAAAATTATTGAATGTATATATGATGAACCAGCGACTAATATTAGAACTAATTGGGGATTGGTGTTTTTTCAATTTTAATAATATTATGTTAAGTATAAACATTTAGTCTCTATTTATTTATAAGGAGAAGCTCCTAAGGATATTTGAAGCACGGCGCTTTCATGCATGCGTTGTATGTTTTGAGAGATTAAAATGCGGAAACTAAATCGAGAGATACAAAACAAAACTTTGAATAGAAGCACATAAACAAGGAGACACAAAAAAACACAGATTTAATGTGGAAAAACTTGAAAACTGGAAAAAACTATGGAGCCACACCACACAAAACAATTCACAATAAAGAAATGAGGAAAATTATACAAATTACGCCACACTCAAACCTCTCTAATTCTTGGAACACTTCAGGACTTGTCTCCCTTCTCTATCGCACTAGTGAAAATAGAAATCCAACACCACATACTCGCTCCTTTGTCTTGTCGCAACAATCGTCTGTTTCCTGCAAAAAAATCGAAATATAAATGCTTAACTGCAAAAATTCGGTTACAGGCGCTTGGGCACCGACCTTTGTCACTGGATTTTCGAGCTCTCAGCTTTCAAAATTGGAAACAAATGTAACACGGCACGGGGGCACCACTTGTGGGTGCCGAATTATCGAAGGCTCTGTTTTAGAAGCCTAAAATGAGCACTGCAGCGCTCCCACTGGCTCCAGGGTGCTTCTGCCAAGCATCGGGGTGCCACCCCAAGTGTTGGAGCGCTCGAACATCCCTTCAGCTACCACAAACAGTCTCGACAAGATAATTATTTTCCTCTTGGAGACTGATTGCAATTAATACCACTTCTCAAATATGTTCTTTTTTTATAGTAATGTACTGTAATGTGGCTCAACTCTAGTCTCAACATTTCTAAACTCCAACTGAAACCAAACATAACTTCAATTTCTCAACAGTAACAACCTCAGTCAAATCATTTGTAAGATTCTGAGCCGTGTTTTTCTCAAAAGATAATTGATCATCTTCTAAGAATGAAAGAATGAAATGATATTTTTAGCTGAATGTGCTCCGCATGAAATGCAATGTTCTTTGCTGGATGAATATCACTTATATTATCACTATGAAGCTTACTATTCTCCCACTCCTTGCTCAATTATGTCATAAAACTCTATAGCCAAATTAATTATTTGCTAGCCTTATTGATAACAATGTACTTTACTTCTGTAATATATAATACAACAATCTTCTATAACCTGAAAATCAAATTCACTATTGTGTTTCCCAAAGTAAAGTCATAACTTGTACTTCTTGTACCATCAATATCTCCCGCTTGATTTAAATCTACATATCTCTATAGATCAATCCCTGTACTTTCAAAGCAAAGTGTTTTGTTGATTTTTCCTTTCATGTATCTGAAAATCTACTTCACTGCCTCGTAAATCATGTACTGGCTTATCACTCCCACTATACGTACAATTTCTTTCTTTGCACATATCATCACATACATCAAACTTCCAACTGCTAAAATATATGAAGTTCTTCTCATCCATGTTTGCTTTGCTTCGGATTTGGGTGATTATTCCTTAGATAGTTTAAAGTCACTTTCTAAAGGGGTGCAAACTGATTTTGCATCATTCATATTAAACATGTGTAGGACCTTCCATATTCTGCTTGAGACAAATTCAATGTACCTACTTCTGTCCCTGTTAATTTTCATGTTAATCATTTTTTTGGCTGGACCTAAATACTTCAACTTAAACTCCCTTAATGATTGCTCATTCAAATTCCTAGTCTCTCCATATCCGCTCTTGCAATGAACATATTATTCACATACAAAAAATATAATATAGCAATTATTAAATTATTTAATGAATTAATAATAATCTGTCTGACACTTCGTGTACCCATTACTTGACATAAATCTGTTAAATCTCTTGTGTCACTGTCTTGGATTCTGCTTCAGCCCATAATTTTTTTTTTCAGTTTGCAGACCATATCTTATTTTCCTAGAATTTCATATTCTTGCGGTTGCGCCATGTACAATCTTTTTTCTAAGTCACCATGTACGGTGATCATCTTTAAATTCATCTGCTTCAGATGTAAATTTTCCCCTGCTATTAAGGTAAATACAACTATGATTTTTATCATCTTCATTGCAAGAAAAAAAATCTCAGTGTAGTCAACTCCTTCCTTTATTTGAAGTCCCTTCATAATAAATCTCGTCTACCTTCTGACTCTTTTTTCAGCCTGTAGACCCACTTGTAGTGCAACACATTTTTGCCATATGACAATTCTGCTAATTTTCACGTCTGATTTGACATTAATGACTACATCTTTTTATTCATGATAAACTCTCATTCCTTCGAGTCTTCAATATGAGTGGACTCGTAATAACACTCTAGTTCACCGTCATCAGCCAACCATAAATAGTACAAAAAAGAGAATATCTTGTATTAGTTGTTTGACTCGAAATTGACTCGTTAGAATATAAAATTATTATAATAATTATTATTTTAAATAAAAATAAAATAATATTTTTATCTAGTTTTTTTAATTAAAAATTTAATTTTAACCACAAAACATTGATTAATTAAAAAAATTTTCAAGAGCAAATTTCATACAAAATTTTACACAATAAAAATATTAATATTGTTTATTATTGATCTTAAATATTGTTATTTGTGGCAGCAATGTTATTTGCATGTTTTTAGCAGCAATAACATCGCAGTAATACGACAATAACACCGCAAATTTACTCGAATAACACCGCCGCCGAAAGCATGCCAATAACACTGCGAGTTACCTCAAATAATATCACATTAACACCACAAATTTATTCGAGTAACTCCTCCAAAATATGCCAATAACATTGCAGGTTACCTCAAAAAACAGCGTAATAACGCCACAATAACACTCGAATAACACCGCAATAATGCCAGAATAACACCGCAATAATGCCATAATAACAGTGCGGGTTATTGTGGTGTTATTGTGATGTTATTTGAGGTAACCCGCATTGTTATTGACGTGTTTTTGGCGGCGGTGTTATTCGAGTAAATTTGCGGTGTTATTGAGGTGTTTTTGTGACGTTATTGCTATATTATTCAAGTATTATTCCGCAAGTATTGTTTCGGTGTTATTTGAGGTAACCCGCAGTGTTATTGGCGTATTTTGTCGGGGGTGTTATCCGAGTAAATTTGTGGTTTTAGTTTGAGGTAACCCGCAGTGTTATTGGCGTATTTTGGCGGGGGTGTTATCTGAGTAAATTTGTGGTATTATTGCGATGTTATTTGAGGTAACCCGCGTGTTATTGGCGTGTTTTTGTGGCGGTGCTATTCAAATAAATTTGTTGTATTTTTTTGGTGTTATTGCTGCGAAAACACACAAATAACACCATTGCCACAAATAACATGTTTTTCGAAGCATCGAGTTGGTTCGAGCCAGGTCAGGCGAAAAAATGGGGTGTTATTTATGTAAATGCCCAAAATAAAAATATATTTCTTATGTGATATAAGAATTGGGTGGTTTGTATGTAAATACATTTATATTCATTTATTTCTTTAGTTCTTTTCAAGCCAATTTGAGCTGAACACGAGCGAACAGATATTTGTTCGTGTTCGGGTCATTTATATTTCGAGGTTAAACATTTGTTCGTGTTCGGCTCAATGAGCGGATCGCGAGCTGCTTAACAAGCCGAACACGAGCTGTTCGCGAACAACGAGCCAAGTTGACAGTCCTATCTGTAACGAGCTGGTCATGATAAATATTTATGCTCCAACTTGAGGGGGACCGTTATGAAAAGTAATAAATCTAATGGTTGTATATTAGAAAACTTGATTATAAGAAATCTAATAAATGCATTTTCCATATTAGGTAACCTAATTAGACATCTTATTGCAGGATCTTTCCTCTATTAGAGATATTCCTGAACTACATAGATTAAAGTGTATATAAATATGTAGCATATATTTTCAATTGAAAGATGTGGGAAAGAACTATTTTCCTTCAGAGTCGTTAATTTGAAATTACTTGAGAAGTCTTGCAGAAAGAGAATATCATATAGACTTGAAGATAAATTTTTAAAGCTATAATTAGATCTATTTGAATAATAGATTTTTGTAAGAAAAGTGTCACTTATAGCCTACTTAGGCGTAGGGAAAATAAGAATACTAAGATGGAGGTATTGCAAAACTATGAATGATAGAGATGGAGGTGAGGATTGCCTCTATTGAAAAAAATATAATAACCTTGTTGTTTTGAGCATGGAATACAAAGGTAAAAAAAAATACACCAATAACATCATTATATAAGATTAATGCAGAAAATTAAGAAGAATATTAGTAAACTAAAGTTAACTAAATAAACTTGCATAATAGAGAGTGAACACATGGTAGTACTTTACAAGAATCAACAGGGAAGAGTTGATAATGATGGTCGTTAAGAGTGGGATAAAGTTAATGATTATGATGATAATCAGAGTTGGTGATAAGAATATTGATAATATTAGGAGGTACATATCTCCGGTCGAATAGAAATATCTCTCTGATAATTTTTGCACATCTATGCCTTCACTTTCATAGCATCTTATGTTTACAGAAGAAAAGCTCATTTGGCTATATTCTAAATGATTGTTAGGAAATTTATATACATAGAACACAATTATTTTTTTATTTACATATCTCATACCTAACCTTTCATATTTACACACATAGCACTTGGGTGCTCATACCTAAACTTTCATATTTACACACATAGCACTTGGGTGCCTTAAACCTATGCATGAAAAAGTACATTTGACTTTTTAAAAGTGGTAATAGTGCTATTTTTATTTTATATTAAAGATTGAGTGCTGTGTCTGCAAATGTCCATGTTTCTTTTACCATATTAATGTCTCTGATGATCAAACTACTGTTATGTTTTACATCCTTGCTTATTTAATGCCCAACTTATATGCTTTGCTTCTAACATACAAGAGACAGGATGATAGTGATGCGAATACCCTGCCGTAACCTTTATTCTTCATTTTGTTACAATTTAGCCTTTTGTTTGACCTAAGATTTATCTACTAGCTAATCTGCATAGCTTTTCAAGTTGATA